GAAAATTTGCAAGAAAGTTTCCTGCGAATTTTTTTGCAAGAAATTTTACAGGAATATTTTTTACGAAAAAAATTAAAGAAATTACTATAAATTCTATCAATAATTTTTCAACTTTCAAATGCTCACAAGAGATTCATCCGAAACATTTGTTTCTATGCCTCCAACATGTGATACATAATTTTTTAGATTCTAAGATTGTAGATTATAAGCCTAAAACTCAATCATACAAATCAACTTGTAAGGTAAGTGTTGCCCCAACTTATATACTCTTTAATTGTTTTATTTTCAATCGATGTGGGACTTGAAGTTTCTTTAAAATATTAAACTTATAAATTTTAATTTTTTTTTATTTTTCCTGTGGATTAAAATTTGCAGGAAAATTCGCAAGAAAAGTTACCTGCAAAATTTTTCTACTATTTAGTAAACATTACTTGCGAATTTATTTTTGCAAGAAACAAAATAAAATTCTTACAATATTTTCTGCAAATTTTTATCATGGAAATTTTTTTTATGATTATTAAAATTGTAGCAAAATTTGTAAGAAATATCTGTAAATTATTTTTCGCAAATAAATTTGCAAAAATTTCTGCGAATATTTTTTTGCAAGAAAATTCACAAAAAATTTCTGCGAATATTTTTTTCAGAAAAATTTGCAAGAAAATAACGTTTTTCTAGTAGTGATATGCAATCGCATGTGCATTTTTTTTTAATGTAAGATGTATATAAATAAAACTTTTCTTCCGTTTTTTTAATGTTGGTTTTCTTCCTTCTGTTTTATAGACTCGCATGGGTTATATGGGTTATCCTCCTCGTGATCCCTTTTCTTCTCATCAATTAGTATTTATAATAAATAATATCGTATCTAATCTTTCGAATCTTAACTTCTTAAGTAAAATAATACATCAAAGTACCACAACACTTTTCTTTTTCATAGAAACTTCAAACAAGTTATAATAGTTATCCTCCTCTCCTGATCCCTTTTATATATTCTCATCAATCAGTATTTAGATAATAAACATTGCATCTAATCTTTACATATATTAAAATAATGCACCAAAGTATCTCAAAATTTTCTTTTTCTCCTTGTTATATGACTGGATAGTGAGGAATAACCTCTCATACACAAAACTAAAACAAAAAGAAAGAATAAAACAAAAGGAAAAGAAAAGAAAAAGGACATGGTTTCATGTTTCTCCATTGCACTTTAAGCTACATACTTTATTTTAGAAGCTAATGTAAACAAAACGTCATAATCTGACGATTCATCTTGGCACAGTGCAGGAATGAAGTGGATGACAGTGTAGATTAAATACATGTTAATTTATCCATTATTTATGTATGTGAAAGAATTTCATTTTTAGTGTAGTTAAAAAGATAAATAAGTTTGGATTTAAGTTATTTAACTAATTTAAATATTATTTTGTTAAAATAAAATTATTTGTTAAATGAATCTATTTTACTAATTAATTTGTAACTAATATTTTCTGAAATGCTATTTTAGGTGGAGTTTGAGTTAAAAGTCTCCACTTATTTTTTATTCTCACTATTTTATTAGAAATCGTCATTTACTTTTTTAAAAATATCTTAAAATTCCTTCACTCTAATCAAATGTCATATCTTTATAATATTACATCGTCAAAATGATAATACATATAAATTTATTTTTGTTATCTTATCTTATTTAGTAAAATATTTTAAAATGAGAATAAAATTAAAAAAAATGTATATTAATTTTAAGATACAGTAACTTATTTGGAAAAAATAAAATTATGAAAATAAAATACTTTATTATGCATACATAATAATTATATATATATATATAGTATTTATACTTATCAAAAAATTGAAAAGCAAAAAAGTATTATCATGAGAGTTTAGTCATGTATACCAACTTCAAAAATAAAGTTTGCGCAAAGTGTTCATGTAACATTCTAAATTTTTTAAAAATTATTAAAAAATATTTTGACTAATTAAAGGATTCTATAAAATATTTTAGAGACTTTTAATAGTTATGAGTATTTTAATTAAATAATAAATATTTGTGAAAACTATTTTGTATAATATTTATTAAAAAAGTATTTTTTATAATATATTTAGAGAAAAATATGTTTTTATTATAATTGTTTGTTATTTATATATATTTTATTTTAATTATAATTATGTTGGAAGAAATATTTATTATATATATATATATATTTGTTATTTATTATTTATTTTATTTTGTTATAATTATTTGGATTGGTTTTAATATTTATTTTAATTATTTGTATATATATATTATAAGTTTTTATAATTAAGTGTTTTATTTATTGATTGATTTATTAAGAGGAAGAAAATTTGTAATTATGATATGGTGTTTTAACTAAAGGATTAAAGAAGAGTTAAGTTTAAAAAAAAAAGTTTTTTTTTTATCAAACTCTTTTTACGCTTTCTTTTCACATATGTTTTTACTTCAAAGTTGGAGGATGAAGGAAACTACCATGAAATTGCAAGATTATCTTCTTCTACTTATCAAGGAAAAGGAGAAGTGAGAAATTTCGTTTTAAGTGTGAAAATGTATGTTAAGTTGTGAGATTGACCATCAACTCCTTTTTTGTTGCTTGTATTGTATGAAAAAAGATTTCTCAATTGATTGCATAATGTGTTTTTGGTCTTCTATATGATTCTTTATTGTTTTATTTAATGTTGTGTAGTTGTATATATCTACAATTTCATGATTGAACTTGTAGTTGTGAAATTTAGATTGTTTATAGATTACTATGGAAATCTTAAATAGTTATTGTGTAAATAATTAATAAAAATATATAATTAAAATGTGAAATTAAAATTAGATTGGAGTAATTGATAATATAATAAAATAATACTAAATTTTAATCGTGATTTTTATAAATTAATTTGAAGTTTTGAGATTTTGAATTTGTCATATGCAGTTCACTATAATGAATTTCAACCCAGAACAGCAATTGACATTCCTGTATATTCTGTTGCATGCCCGTGCAAGTTGCAACTAGTGAGACGCAACCTGAATTTTCCACTAGTATATGGAAAATTTGAAAGTCTCTTGTTAAATCCTAAATTTTAAATTTGCAAAGTGAGACGCAACCTGAAGTAAAATGATTTGTTTGTTTGTTTTTAGAAAATCTCCATGTCTAACAACCTTTGTCCTTTGTGTTTAGAAAAGAAAAGATTCATTTAATTTTTGTGTTTAGAAAAGAAAAGATTCATTTAATTTTCCATATACTAGTGGAATAAGACTAGTTAGCACTGAAATTTACTTTCCAACTTTAACTTTTTCTTTTGCTTTGCCTGTAGAAAAGAAGTTTAATTTCCTTTAAAGAATTTTATATATAT